AAAAGGGGAATTAAGTTTTTTAAAAAGGGGAATTTTAAGGTAAATTCTTTTTAATTAAAAAAATGTGACATTTCTTTTGGGGACGGATTAAGTGTGCTACATAAATTGGATAGAGGGAGTAATAAACAATGTGGACTTATTTAGTGGTCAAAACTTCTCATATTGTTTTCTGGCATCCTGCTAACTAGTTATTTTTTGGCTCGTTGCTCAGAATGAAGGTAGTAAACTAAGTGAAACATTAGACTCCAAAGCTGTTCAATCATCGAAATTTGCTCATTGGTTTTTCGAAGAAGGTATATCTATTCCCCCACCCTTCATTTCTTACTGAATTCTATCAAAATCTCTTGAAATCTTATGTAAACAGTCTTATCTCACTTATGTCATTGCAGAGAGGAAGCAGGAAGATGATCCTTCATTAAGCAGGCCTGGTGATCTGCTTGCATTAATTGTTGGTGGAGATATAAACAGAACACAACCTTTTGAGGCTAATCCTTCAGATCAATTCCCATCAGAATTCTCCTATCATAGTCCTAATCCTACAAGTAAGTTTGTCTCCAATTTACCTTCTTCGTCACTTGGGGGGCCTGAGCGTGAGCCTATGTACAAGCCCAGGAAAAGGGAGGCAGCACCCACCATTCTTACTTGTGAAGACCTTGAGCATACAATGTTGTCCGAGTTCAGCGAAAAGAAGTCTAATTCGCAGCCACAAGGCTGGAATACTAATCACACAAAGTCTAAGGAACCTGTAATTGTGGATAGCCAGGCATCTCAACACCTCCTTTCATTATTACAGAAGAGGCCAGATCATGGAAATGTGACAGAGAAGTCCAATGCTGGAATTGAATCCTTGGAGGCACGTGGTGATATTACCATGCAAGACAGATCTAAGAAGGAAGATAACAAGGATACACTCACACTTGAATCGCTTTTTGGAACTGCTTTTATGACGGAATTACAATCTGCACAAGCTCCAGTTTCAGTTCAGAGGATTTCAGTTGGTTCTGGACTAAATGTTTCTCTGGAAGCTCAAAAATCGTCCTTGCCTGGTTCTGATGATACCCTTTCTTCTTCGATAATTGATGATAGAGCAACTAAGGAGAATATTGTCTTATCTTCAAATTGCAGAGATCACACAAAGCTGGATAAGGCAGAAAACTGGTTGGGATGCAATGATTCCTTGTATGAAGTCAATTCCTTAAGGCGCCAGACTGAAGCGGTCTCCAGAAATGGTGATTATCGGGCTGGTGGATTTCATCTACCTGAAGGAGAGAGGATATTTAGTGTTGGTGATCCTTTGGTACCCCAGGTCTCAACGTTTATGCCTGCAGGAAATATGGGTAAAGGTGACTTGGTGACTGTTAATTCAGTTGGCAGTGATCAAATGTCTTTGATGGGTCCAGGAGCACTGCCCTTTCCACGGGCTTCTCATGAACAGATAGAGTCTGAGATGCTGTTTAACCATCTCCATGGTCAACCATCATCTTCTCAGTTTCACCCTTTGCAAATGAATCAAGGGAAACCATTACTTCATCCATTGGATTCTCGTCCTGCTCATTTGAACACTCAGATTTTGTCTGGTCCAGAGGGCATGACTCGACACGATGCTCTTCCAGGTCATCAATTTACTGGAAATATGATAAGACCTCCTTTTCACCACCCTAATGCTAGGGTGACAGGGTTTGATATTCCTGCTCATCATCCTATGCTGCAGCAGATGCAAATGTCTGGACCTCACCCCCGTCATCTGCTACATGACCGTCTAAGTGGTGGTCCAGTTCCTTCACATTCCAGTAATCAGGCAGCTGGCTTTGTGCATGAAGCTAACCCGATGCAAGGGTTCCCTTTTAAGTCTCACCAAGTCAATGTTAATGGGATTGGGATGCAAATTCCAGGTAAAATTTTGATGTGCTGTCTCTACAGCTCCCTGTCTGTGTCTTGTTCTCTTTGGATTACACCTCAATAATAAGTTTCTCTTCTTTGATCTTTGCTAAAATAAAAGCAACGGGTTTCTTAATCTTTGCAACACCTTCTGCTTATTTCTCAATTCTACTGTCGCGATGTTGATATTCCATTCTTGCTATCTCCTGCTTGCACCGTCTCACTTGCATTCTTTACTGATGGAAACGACAATACAATTGAATTGCAATTTGTTAGGAGTTCTACTCCATTGGTTACTGCCACCATACACCTCATTGTTTAAATTATCTCTTGTATTTACGGAGAACTTATTCATCTTTCCAAGACTTCCTTTCCTGTTAGATTTTGAATTTTTATCTAGTCAAAATTGAGGATTAACATGACCAAGTTGTGTTTTCGCCATCATCAGCCTTAGCTTGCCTTTGAAAACCTGTAGGTCTAAATGACTTCAAGTAGGTATCTGCTCATTCTTGTTGATTTTTTCATCAAGCTGCTCATTCTTTTTCCGTTCCTTTCTGCAGTTTCTATCTAGCCGTTTACAAGTAAAACCAGTAGCTATTCTTGTGTTACTATTCAGCTCTTTTTTGCTACAGATTACTCTGTTTGCGAAGCATGTCGGCTTTTGAGACTTGAACTAGTAAATTGCTTTTCGCATGCCTACTTCTTTTCTGGAAGTTATGTCTCGAGATATGCTTTGCTGAATATTATTGCACCCTGAAAATCTAGAACAAAGTAGAATATTGTCCACATATCATGTATTGTAAAAAAAAGGTCTTGCACTCTTAGTTCTTTTAATTGGTACCACTTTTCTGATTGAAGATGAACTATTGATGTTTGACCATCTGTGTGAGTTTATATCATATTCTTTTCATCCTCAGGGCCAGATATCAACAACCGAAACAATCATCCTGATGCCCTGCAAAGGCTTATCGAGATGGAGCTTAGGGCTTCTAAGCAGATTCACCCTTTTCCTGCTGGGCGGGGACAGGGGATGTATGGTCACGAGCTTGACATGGGAATGCGACATAGATAGTTGGCCATGTAAGGTTAACGTCTTTCATGTGGTACTGATATGGACCATCACTTATGGGCAAGATATCAGGGGAAATGACGTAATACTTAGATTCTACTTTTTCGCACTAGGTGGTGGGTTTAGGGTTGCTTGTCTTTCATCTCTACATACATCAGTGAGGAGTGGCTGGAAAGGGCCTCTGTATCAACATCTCTTACTATATTGTGCAAACATGGTTGTGGAAATTCTCGTCAGTTCTTCTTGATCTTCCTTGTGTTCCTGATCTGATTGTTACCCGCTCGCTCCGTTATCCCCTTCCCTTTTCTTGGACATGTCTTTTATTTTTCCCCGGAAAGAACTGTGTTGTATAGCACCACAATTCAGGCTATTCCTATTTCAAATATGGAGGCGGAGTAGCAACGATGGGCATGGATGGTGCTAAAGAAGCTATCTGGTTTCTCTAGTGCCTTGTATTAGTAGATAATTGTTGCAAGGAAAATGCAATGAAAGAAAGCAAAAAGGAGGACAGTGCAACTTATACTAGCTGGTCTATGAGGTTGTTATATCTCAAGTGTTGTTTATAAGTTGTAGTAATTACTTAGACCTACAATTTTCAACTCAGTTTGAATTGCAGGATAAAGATCCTACTTGAACTCACACATTTCTGGAATGGATGAACTTCATAACAAACTAATTCTCTATTTGACCTTAATACTCAAATGAAACTCATATAGTCTATTCATCATGATATTTCTAAACAAACTCATTAACAAGCCTAATGAAGGTGTTGTAGATAGTTGTTGGTAATTGCAATGTCACACATTCCAAATGTAAAATAACACTACAGTTACTTCAAATGTGAAAGCATTACTCCCTCCATGCCTTTTTAGTTGTCATATTACGCTTTATGAGAGTTAATTTAACTAATTTTCTAAACTAAATTAGATAACATTAGTTTGATGTTTAAAATAAAATTTTAGACATTCAAAAACTATATGGAAAGTACTATAAATTGCAATATTTTTCATATCAATATAATGAAAAAAATATATCTTAAAACGTTAGTCAAAATTCATATCGTTTTGATTTTCAAAAGGAAACATAGTTAAAAAGTGACTAAAGGAATATTATTTAAGTAGTCGAGCAATATATCATTTGGCATTGTGATTAGGGGTGTTCTCAGGTCAATTTGGGTCGGTTATTGGTCAAAATCAAAATCAAACCAACTTAATAGGTTTTAAAATTATCAAAATCAAACAAATTTGATACTATATATTTATCGGTTTGGTTGCTATTAGTTTCGATTTGATTTGATTCAGTTATTAACAATACACAAATAAAAGAAACATATCATTTAAAATGTGAAAAAGTGATAACAATCTATTCAAAACAAAAAATAGTTAAAATGACTGACATTGCAGATGTTTCGATCACTTAATTTACTATCAATAAAGCTTCAAAATTCTATATTTTGCCTAGAAGGAAGAGTGAGTTTTCACTATTTGCCTAGAATGAAAAATAGTTAAAATGATTGACATTACATATGTTTCGATCATTAAATTCACACTATCAATAAAGCTTCAAATTTAGACATTCATATACATGAAAATGATGAAATCAATAAGATAAATGTTTTCACTTGAACAATTTTGCTTTCATAGGTAAATTAGAAATACATTTTGATAAAAACATATATAAGATCTTTAGAATTGTTATAATAAAAATAATATATTATGTACGTATAATGATAGAAATTATGTATATAATTTGTCGATTTGGTTTAGTTACTTCTTTGATTTTTTCGAACAAAATAATAACCAAACCAAATACTATCGATTTTTAAGACTATAAAACCAAACCAAACCCAAATTAATAAAATTGATTTGGATAAGTTTTTATCCAGAACACCCCTAATTATTATGATGATTTAAAACCTTTAAATAAGATATGTTACTAAAAAATAAAATAAAATAAAAAAACCTCAAATTCAGTAAATAAATTCCCCCGCCCCTATATAAAGAGAGTCGCAATACCCTCATCCCCCTACCTCCTCTCGCATTAACAAAAAAGGGCGCCTCTCTGTTGCTTGGCGGCAAAGCCAAGTTCTTCGTCCAGAAGAGAAAAGGCCATTGGTGATTTTCTCTCTCTCTCGCTCGCTCTTGTTGATTTTACTTTCGTATGAGTAATTTTTGTATCCATTGGATTGTACTAACTTGTTATCAACTTCAATGGAATCATCACGTTTCTATACTATCATCCGTCCCAATATTTTGTTTATTAGTTGTACTAGTAGTTTCTGTCTATGATTTTTTCTGTATGAATTCTTATTCAACTGGTTTTAACTTTATAAAATTGTGATCGATCTCTAGTAGAAAGTTGGATTGTTGGTCCAGAAGATCTAGGGTTTAATTTTCTAGTTACCAGTACGTTTTTCTTCTTCTTTTTACGTGGAGAAAAGTTAAACCCTAGATTTAAACCCTTTCAAAAATTGCAGGTTAATTTCTGGCAATCATGGTACGTACAAAAGTAGAAATCAAGAGAATTGAGGATAAGGCTAAAAGGCATACCACTTTCACAAAACGTAGACAAGGTCTTTTTAAGAAAACCAAGGAGTTGGTGAAAAGATGCGACGCTGAAGCGGCTGTGATCACGTTTTCTTTGGCCGGCAATATCTTTGCATTCGGCCATCCCTCCGTTGACAACGTGGTGAACCGCTACATTGCTGCCATGTCTGCTCCAGAGCTCGGTGAAGTTGTTCCGGTTCATGAAGAGGCAGAGGATGCAGTGATTGGGACAAATGAAGATGATGAGACGTTGGGACTGGAGGTGCCACTTGATGATATGGGTATGACTGAACTTGAGGAGTTGGATCGCACAATGACAGAGATGAAGAAGAAAGTTGTTGACAAAATAGATGGGATAATTTCATGTTCAAAGAATTGAGGATCTTGGATTGGATTGATTACTTTAGGCAGGTTCATTCTATTCATCAAGAATTTTAGTGAATTCTTTAACTACTTCAATGATTGACTTGCATGAAAGGTGCAGTAGTTTTTTTGATATATTTTTCCTCTTTAGAGAGGTCAAAATAGCTAGTACGTAGTGTTTGATTTGTTCCCCAGCCACTGAATCATATTTTTAGTAGTGAAAGATTAAGTTTCTGAGCCATTTGTGCTTTGAATGGCAATTTAGGATAATAATTAGTTGTCTTCCATTTGTATTTTCTACTCAATTACTAAGCCATCTTCTTCCCATCCTTTCTCCTGCCAACTATCAGTCGCGCAAAGTTAAATACAAATATGTTTTGGAACAAAAATAACATCGTGCTACATACTCTCATGTCAATGCCTTCGGTGGATGATCTAGCAAGTTCACTTCACTACGTCTCAATTATTGAGTTGTGTCTTGATATGCCCAAGTTTAATTTGAACTCAAATGAATTAGACTCGAATTTGGATCATGACCCACCCATTTTAACCCGCTTAACCTTAATAATTTTAACATGTTAATTAAATTTCAACTCAATTTTTAAAAAATGAATAAATAAATCCTAAAGAATATAAAATAAATAGTAATGATACCTTCAATATATAAACATACATTACATTAATGCAAATAAAATCTTAAAACAAATTGAAATTGAAGATCTTAAAGTGGGGCTGAGAATCGAGTGATTTAAGATTGACTCAATTCAAATGAACTAAAACTTAAAATTCTTGGGCAAGTCGGGCAGATTATCTCAATATTTGAGCTCATTTTTAGTACCCCTTATTATAACACTTTGCTTCCTCCCCACCTAAACTATTTTTTCACAAGCATTATATCATTGATCCATTTACTCGAACCACAAAAGGTTATTTTCGATTCTTCTCAACATCTCAAACAAGCATGCCAAATACACTGCTACAAAGTTTGATTCATTGGGCGTTTGTAGGACAAAACCAATGAGGGGCACAGCTAGCCCTCCACAACATACAACGTACACAAGCACTACATAATCTACCTATAATACAGCTCAAGCCCTATATAATCTACTCTCCACAAGTACATACAACCTCTCAAAACATTCACTACTCCCGCATTGTTCCCCCAGCTAGATATATACAGGATGGAGATGGCAACATACGAGCAACTTGCAAGTTTGAAGCATATGAACATACTAGATGCACATCTTTTCATTACACGGTTCCCTTCGTACCATTGTCTCCACCAATCATATGCAATGACCACGAATCATCTGAACCTTCCTCCAGCTTCTTAGACAGCTTGGATTGCGTTACCTCTGAAATCAGTTTTTATAGGAAGGTCCATTTTATCTTTTGCAGCACCCAAGCCGTATGATGAAAGCAACCTCCTCTGCACCAAGCATGAGATAACGAATAAGATCAAAAGATAAAGTGATAAACAATGGATTATTGACCAATTCATTTAGCTTTCATGCTATGCAACATTTATCCTAGTGAAAACAGGACGGTGAAATACCCCAATGGATATACGAGGTCACTCCAGATCATAATTCATTTTGAATTCTTTTTTATCCATCTCAACATCCATTTGTACTGTTTACTTTCTTCACAGAAAGAAGAGAGAAAATAAGAATGCATATACACTGAGCCAAGCTGAGCCCCAGGCACGTCAAGTTTAACCTCGATTCATTGACCTTGAGAAACGACACATGTACGGCTCAGCTTGGCTTGCTCTTTCCGGTTCTTGCCTCCACTTGGTGATGGCTGGGTACAAGTTCTTGCCTCGCACAACTTCAGCCATATAACCCAACCACAACTTCTGAAAGCAATTGCAAAAAACATACTGGAGCACCAAGCGTAACTATTCATCTCATGCTTCTACAAAGACTTCGTCAATTTGGTATGTACCACCACTACTTATTTTCTTTTGAACTTGATTAAAAATAACACCCTAATGTAGGTACACAGATTTGAACTGAAGAAACTTTCCACGTCAAAAACAAAGAATAAAAGAAAATTTAATCTCAATAGCATGAAGACTTGCAAGTCCTTAGGCCAACAGGAACAACTAGCATTTATAAATGATTTATTTTCTTTCTATTATGTGAAGATTCTCGTATTCGTGACAGGTTTCTTGGGGCACACTCGGTTTAGAAAGAATCAGGTTTGAGTTTTTTCCGAGCAGCTTATTTTAAACAGATATTTCTGGAAGCTGAGCCAAGATGTGCTTAACAAGCCAAGAACTATCCAGAAATGGAACTTCCCACAAAAAGATTAAAACAAAAGTTATCCAGAGGTCCTTTCCAAACTCAAAACTCGCTACAAAGTATGCCATAAACTTTCAGAACAAAAACAAAAAACAAAACAAAAACCAAGTTAAGATAACTTAGTGGTGGCGGAACCTAAATAAAGGGGTGGTAAGAAGATGTGACGCCGTTGACCACACAGAACAATGGTAAAATATAGAAAAAGATAAAAGATTGCAAGGACACTGTGATAATCAAAGGTCATTACTGCAAACAAAGGATCCTTGGTTGTGACTACAGAGGGGGCCGCCGAAGGGATGCATGCGGCCAGGTGAATGAAGAGTGAAAACAAGAGATGCATCTAGGAAAGGTATTTAGTGCCTACATAGTAAATCAAAATCAGTCACAAGTGTAACTCCTAACTATAATTTGAGAACGCAGATGGCTCCCAACTATAATTTGAGAACGCCTGTTCACATCTAGACTCATGATCCCAGCAAGCTTAGACACCGTAGCCTGAGTTATACGTGGGCAAAGCCCAAGACAACCTGAGCTCAAGTCCAACTCAGCAAATGAAGATCCCTAAAAAAAAGGAATTTTGTAGAGTTGGACTTGGTTTCTTAACACTACAAACTATTGCATCACGGGTACAACAAGATACTTCAAAGAAAATAAGACTTAACATATCAGGAACACAGTAAAACAGAAAAATAATCCCTCTCCAAAAGGACCAAGTGTAATTCCTCCAGCTCTATTAAGACCTTGAGACTTCTAACTAGATCACATTACATAAGCCTTTACTGATTATTCAGATATGATGAAATCCACAGATTGTGACTTACATGATCCTCAAATTCAGGGCTCGATAAATTGAAGGATAGATTCTTCATCAACATCAGTGCCTGCAAACCAACAAAACAGTATCTTTCAGTCAAGTGAGATGAAGCAATTCATAGACTTCCATGTCAACATGCAGCATGCAGTAGTGGATATCTGAGGTCTGATTAAAGAAAGTTAACATCCCCTCTTATTCCGAAGAATCTAAAACTCCAGGAACCAAGGCTTTACTGCAATTTGCAGAGGGAGAGAGAGAGAAAGAAATTCCTTCTGTCTATTTAATGTTAACCTATAAAATTAACCATTCAAGTTCTTTATCAACATGGTAGTCAAAGAAGGTCATCTCAGTTAGGATCAGACGAGTATAAGATTTACACCTCATATACAACAAACACAACGACGCCTCAATTCCAAGCTAGGATATACACCTCATGTACAGAGTTACAACATGCAACATAAGTGTCTCTGCACCTTTCTTTGTTCACAACTATACATCACGTGAAATGCAAACTGGAACTAACATCAACATATGTATGTCTGCTAAATCAATTCCAACATACCGTCTGAATATCAATGGGGTCCATCTTTCTTAATCTCTGTAAGTGGTCCCTCGTACTTGGATCAAAGACACTGCCAATGAAGCTGTAAACTTGAGCAAAGTCTGGCATAACTGCAATTTACAAAGCAAAGGAAAACAAATCAATTTGTTGAATTAATAAAGCTTTGTGCAGATAAAAATAACTGCAAAGAAAGAAGTAACAGTGATCTCTGCCTTGGTACTGCAACACATCCTTTTAGTGTGACATGAACAGATGGAACTAAATGAGGATAAAATAAAGAGCACGGGGAAACCAAATATAGCCTTTTTCCATCTGCTTACACGCAATATAGGACAAATAAATTTGCTCCCTTTACCCCAACAGACTTTCTTTTTTTTTTTTTACCGTGGTTTCCGGGCGTCGCTTTGCGAACCCGACTAGCTGTACCCACCGGGTCCCGCTGTTTCAAGGCGGGTCCACCACGGTTAGTTCCACGGGGCCCTGGAGACGCGGCCGGTTTGTAATGCCTCCAGTGGCCCTGCTGGGGCTCGAACCGGCGACCTGAAGGACTTTGTCCCAGGCCTTTACCAGCTGAGCTACCCCTCAGGGTTACCCCAACAGACTGAATGCTACCCAACTACTATCAGAATATGTAAATATACACAGCTGCAAAAAGTACAGCTATCATGTGCAATGCGGTACAAATGTCATGTGATAATACATTTTCTCAGTCCGTCCTAACAACCTTCTTTTCCGGGAATATCTCCCTGGCTCCCCTTAGATTTCCTAGTACTTTCCACTTTCTTCTCTGTTTCCTTCTTGTACCTGATTTTAACCCATGAACAATTCCTTTGCCTAAATTCCACTATTAGGCAAAAGAAATGTTGCCACTATTCCTTGTTACATCTAGGAATAGCCATCCATATATGCAACTGAGAGCGTGAGGGGGAAGCCAGTGTTTCTTCCACCCTTGAAGAGAAGTATTGGAGATGGAAAAGTTAAAGAAGTTGGGGCTGCTCAAATAAACGGCTTAGCATAGAAATCTGTTCTATTTCCACAATGGGGGAACCTTCACCATAAGGTTCAGTTGGTCAGATAATCTTTTTCCACCAGTAAATAGCTCTAAATATCGACTGAAACAACATCAAACTCCAAAAACAAATAATTCAACATTTCTACAAGCATTCCACAATCCATCCCAAGCACCCGCCAATCAACTAACACCCAGTTTAGGCCTAACTGTCACACACTACTTAGGTTAGTAGGGAAAGATCATTACCAAAACCTATCTGAGGCAGAAGAGAATGCTTTGCTTAACATACAGTTCTACTGAGCATTTCACATCATGTTAGTGG